GCTTTTGCACTTGTGACCTTGAACAAGTTTCTCAATCTCTCTGATCTCTGTTTCTTCAACGGTGATCATCATAAAACCTGTCTGATAGGCTGAGATTGAATGAATAGTTAGATATGAAATGTGAATAGCACGTGAGGCCAGGCATGATGGCTCATACCTGTAATCCCAACACTTTGGGAGGTCAAAGTGAGCAGATCACCTGAAGTCAGGAGTTAAGACACCAGCCTGGCCAACGTGGGGAAACCCCGTCTCTACTAAAAAATATATATATACAAAAATAAGCCAGGCATGGTGGTGGGCGCCTGTAAGTAATCCCAGCGCCCTCCTAGGGAGGCTGAGGCAGGAGAATCTCTTAAACTTGGGAGGCAGAGGTTGCAGTGAGTCGAGATTGCACCACTGCACTCCAGTCTGGGCAATAGAGTGAGACGGTCAAAAAACAGAACAAAACAGAAGAGCACCTAATGTATTTTGTGTTCAAGTGTTTGCTATCAGGATTATGATGTTTATTACTCAGCTGTCCCCTCTGTTCCTCTGGAAAGATACAGCAAAGCTGGCCAGGCGCAGTGGCTCATACCTATAATCCCAGCACTTTGAGAGGCTGAGGCAGGCACACGGCTTGAGTCCAGGAGTTCAAGACCAGCCTGGCCAATATGGTGAAACTCCATCTCTACAAAAAATACAAAAATATAGCCAGTCATGGTGGCGCATGTCTGTGGTCCCAGCTACTTCAGAGGCTGGGGTGAGAGAATTACCTAAACCCAGGAGGTCAAGGGTACAGCGAGCTGTGATTGCACCACTGCACTTCAGGTGGGTGACAGAGTGAGACCTTGTATTTTAAAAAAAAAAAAAAAGGCCGGGTGTGGTGGCTCAAGCCTGTAATCCCAGCACTTTGGGAGGCCACGGTGGGTGGATCACGAGGTCAAGAGATCGAGACCGTCCTGGTCAGCATGGTGAAACCCCGTCTCTACTAAAAATACAAAAAATTAGCTGGGCATGGTGGCGTGTGCCTGTAATCCCAGCTACTCAGAAGGCTGAGGCAGGAGAATTGCCTGAACCCAGGAGGCGGAGGTTGCAGTGAGCCGAGATCGCGCCATTGCCCTCCAGCCTGGGTAACAAGAGCAGAACTCCGTCTCAAAAAAAAAAAAAAAGAAAAACTGGCCCGGCACAGTGTCTCATGTCAAGTAATTCCAGCATTTTGGGAGGGCAAGGAGGGTGGATCATCTGAGGTCAGTTTTAGACCAACCTGGCCAACATGGTGAAACTCGTCTGTACCAAAATATGAAAATTAGCTAGGCGTGATGACGGGTGCCTGTAATCCTAGCTACTTGGAAGCTGAGGTATGAGAATCACTTGAACCCAGGAGGCAGAGGTTGTAATGAGCTGAAATCGCGCCATCCTGGGCGACAAGAGTGAAACTCCGTCTCAAAAAAAAAAAAGGGAAAAAAAAAAATAGCACAGCAAAGCAGTGGAGGCCCGAAAGCCAAGGGGCCTGGTTTTAAATCTCAGCTGTGTACTGTGACTGGACAAGGGCTTTCTTCTCTTTGAGCTCAGTTCTCTCTAGTACTTGGGGGACACCATCCTCTACCCTCCAGGCTTGTGTGCAGATTAAACATAATGCAAGTGAGGTGAATGGCATGATACTGCTATCAAAGGTGTGTAAGCCAGGCACAGTGGCTCATGCCTGTAATCCTAGCACTTTGGGAGGCCAAGGCAGGTGGATCACAAGGTCAGGAGATCGAGACCATCCTGGCTAACATGGTGAAACCCCATCTCTACTAAAAATGCAAAAAATTAGCTGGGCGTGGTGGCACATGCCTGTAGTCTCAGCCACTTGGGAGGCTGATGCAGGAGAATCGCTTGAACCTGGGAGGCGGAGGTTGCAGTGAACCAAGATTACGCCACTGCACTCCAGCCTGGGTGACAGAGCAAGACTCTGTCTCAAAAAAAAAACAAAAAAACAGGTGTTTGAATAAGTTTGTTCCCTTCATCGTACTAGCTGTTGAGCCCTTCCTCCTCTTTTTTTTTTTAAGATGGAATCTCATACTGTTGTGTCGGCTACAGTGCACTGGTGTGATTTCAGTTCACTACAACCTCTGCCTCCTGGGTTCAAGCAATTCTCTCTCAGCCTCCCAAGTACCTGGGACTACAGGCACATGCAACTGTGCCTCGCTAAGCCCTTGCTCTCTTTAGGGTTTTCCTGCAGCTCTAATCAGTATTTGGCTCAGCCAGCATCCACTGAGGCCTGCTGGCGTGTGTGTGCAGAAGCCTGTGGTTCTGCCCTGCTTAGGAGCCTTGCAGCCTGACAGGACAAAGGCCTAGTGCTGTCTTTGAGTCACCTGTGGAATAGATGGCAGCTGTAGTTAGCTAGGCTGGGGGAAAAGACACAGGACCAGAAGGACCTAGAGTGTGAAATTTCAGTCATGCCACTGTATAGACCACTTAGTGGTTTTCCATGGTGCTCTGGCCTGATAGTCAGCCCTGCCTCAGAGCCACCTCTGAGCTCATCAACTACCATTCCCTGCTGCTGTTGGTTCCTTAAGCCAACCCTTTCCTCCCTTCATTCAGCTGCATTGGAGGACCACAGAGGTGAAAAAGGGCAAATGAGAACTCCATGGCTAGGGCCTTTCCTTGGAATTGTCTAGAATGTTCTTAGCTTTCTGTATGGCTCTTCCTTATCCTTACGTCTTAGCCTTCCAGAACCCTTAGCTATGGGAGTTTATCTTTATAAACCCCTCCCATCACCCTTTGTTCCTCTTTCCTTTCTGGTGCTTTCTGGTGGTTATTCACCTAGCTGTTGATCGTCTAGGTGCACTGTAAGCTCCATAGGGTGGAGTGCATGTCTGTTTAGTTCACAAAGGCGTCCCTGCGCCGAGAACTGGGCCCAGCATAGCAGGCAGGCACTCAAATAACTGAATGAGCAAGAAGCCTTGAAAGGGGAGCAGCATGAAGGTTAAAGCTCTAACTAACTTGACTTTTTTTTTTGGAGAGGACTTTCACTCTGTCACCCAGGCTGGAGTGCAATGGCATGGTCTTGGCTTACTGCAACCTCTCTCCCAGGTTCAAACTCCTGCCTGAGCAGTAGCTACAAGTGCCTGCTGCCACACCTGGCTAATTTTTGTGGTTTTAGTGGCAATGATAATGTTTCACTATGTTGGCCAGGCTGGTCTCAAACTCCTGACCTTGTGATCTGCCCACCTCAGCCTCCCAAAGTGCTGGGATTACGGGCATGAGTCACCGAGCCTGGCTTTTTTTTTTTTTTTGAGACAAGTTCTCAAGCTGTCACCCAAGCTGGAGTATAGTGGCACAGTCACAGCTCACTGCAGCCTCATCCTCCTGGGCTCAATTCATCTTCTCACCTCAGCCGCCCAAGTAGCTGGGTCTACAGACATGCATCACCCTACCTAGCTAATCTTCATACTTTTTGTAGAGACAGGGATTTACCATGTTGCCCAGGCTGATATAGAACTCTTGGGCGAAAACCATCCACCCACCTTGGCCTCCCAAAGTACTGGGACTGCAGGTGTGAGCTACAGCACCCAGCCTGACTCAATGCACTGGCACGATGATGGCTCACTGCAGCCTTGGCCTCCCTGGCTTCAGCTGATGCTCCCACCTCAGCCTCCCAGGTAGCTGGGACTACAGGACACGTATTATCACAACAGCTAATTGTATTTTTGTAGAGATACAGTTTCACCGTGTTGCCCAGGCTGGTCTCGAACCCCTGGGCTCAAGTGATCTGCCCACCTTGGCCTCCCAAAGTGCTGGAATTACAGGTGTGAGCCACTGGGCCCAGCCAGGGGAGAGTCTTATTGTCTAGGTTCTGGAGTCTGGACTTGATTCTGTAGGCAGTAAGAGACAAATGGCAGTTTTCTAGAATAGGAATGACAGCTGTGGCATTTTCGAAAGAGAACTGACAACCAGTAAAGAGGTTAGACTGGAAAGCTGTGACGCTAGGGGCTAGGCAAGAGTTCAGAGATGGGGGCAGGATGCTAGAGGTGTCCCCCCAAACCACATGCATACCACTTAATGGTGGGAAATTTTATGCTTCTAAACAATCAGCTAGATGGGAATGGGGTCAGAGTTACTGGTAACTTTCTCAGCAGCATGTAGAAAAAAGACGGATATTGGTTGAATGCATGTTCTACTGAGGCTGCTAGTCCTGGTACTGCTTGGAAATAAGAAAGACTTACATCCAGGCCAGGCACGGTGGCTCAGGCCTATAATCCCAGCACTTTGGGCCACTGCACTCCAGCCTGGCAACAGAGTAAGACTCAGTCTCTAAAAAAAAAAAAAAAAAACAAATCCTCCCCCAAAGAGGTAACCTTCAGTTACCACGCTAAGCTCTAGCCACATGGGGTTTTTTGTTTGTTAGTGTGCTTGCTTTTTTGAGACTTAAGTTTGTCATCCAGGCTGGAGTACAGTGTCATAATCTAGGCTCACTGCAACCTCCTCCTCTTGGGTTCAAGCTATTCTCCTGCCTCAGCCTCCTAAATAGCTGGGATTACAGGCGCCCACCACCACACCTAGCTAATTTTTGTGTTTTTAGTAGAGATGGGGTTTCACCATGTTGGCCAAGCTGGTGTGTGTTCTTATTTAACTCTCTGTGCACTATGAACCTCTGTCTGTGTTGTTTTCTGCTGTGTTCCTGGGTCCTGGGAATAGTAAGTACTTCATAGCTGTTTGTTTTGCCTTATTTTGAACAGGGTCTTGTTCTGTTGCCCAGGCTGGAATCCAGTGCCAGCCTCGACCTCTTGGGTTCAAATGATCTTCCCACCTTAGCCTCCTGAGTAGTTGGGACCACAGGGACCACTACACCTAGCTAATTTCTTTTGTAGAAACAGGATCCCCTGTGTTGCCCAGGCTGGTCTTGAACTCCTGGACTTAAGCAATCCTCCTGTCTTGGCCTCCCAAAATGCTGGGATTACAGGTATAAGCCACTGTGCCCAGCCCATAGCTGTTTTTGATTGAGCAAACTGATCAGTCTTGTATATTTATTCCAGATATGTAACTGGTTCATCAATGCCCGGCGGCGGCTTCTCCCAGACATGCTTCGGAAGGATGGCAAAGACCCTAATCAGTTTACCATTTCCCGCCGCGGGGGTAAGGCCTCAGATGTGGCCCTCCCCCGTGGCAGCAGCCCCTCAGTGCTGGCTGTGTCTGTCCCAGCCCCCACCAATGTGCTCTCCCTGTCTGTATGCTCCATGCCACTCCACTCAGGCCAGGGGGAAAAGCCAGCAGCCCCCTTCCCACGAGGGGAGCTGGAATCTCCCAAGTCCCTGGTGACCCCTGGTAGCACACTCACCCTGCTGACCAGAGCTGAGGCTGGAAGCCCCACAGGTGGACTCTTCAACACACCACCACCCACACCCCCAGAGCAGGACAAAGAGGACTTCAGCAGCTTCCAGCTGCTGGTGGAGGTGGCGCTACAGAGGGCTGCTGAGATGGAGCTTCAGAAGCAGCAGGACCCATCACTTCCATTACTGCACACTCCCATCCCTTTAGTCTCTGAAAATCCCCAGTAGCCGTCTGCCAAGAGGGGTGCTCGAGGCTCAAGCCAGCTGTCCTGGGTTTCCGTTTTGGTTCCCTTTCATGCAGAGGGTTTTCTATGGATCACTGCCAAACATTGGGATCATCTCCTCTGTGTAGAGGTCTTCAGCAGGAAGGTGCCAGTTGGCACCACTGCACTGTGATGGGGGACCTCTCCTCTGCTGACTCTGCCGTTTCTCCAGGCCTCCCCTCAGTGATGAGACCAAGAGATCGGAGACAAGCATGGTGCTGCTGCTGCTGCTGCTTCTCCAGAGAATCCCTGGGACACCTTTGTTCCAGCCTGATTTCCTGGGCTAGGCTCAGGAAAGCTGCCAAGTTCAGTCCTATGTTGGGTCCAAGCTACCCCTGTGCTGTTTCTGTCAAGCCAGGTGTGGACATTCCAAGTTCATATGCGTGAACAAAAGAAGAGGAACCCAGTGGATGTACCGGAACCGACTCCAGTTGAATGTTTAGATTTTTGCTAAACTGTTTTGTTTTTCCCTTTTTTGCTGTGGTTTACATTAACGGCAGTAGTTAGCCCAGGTGTGGGGAACAAGAGTGTACTGCATGGTAAGAATTCTGGTGAACTGGGAAGGACCCACAACTAACTGGGGATTGTTTTGCAAGAAAGGAGTATTTTTATTTGGGGACCAGCTAAGTCTCTGCAGTAGTGTGAAATTTCAAATGGTTGTTTTGGTTTACCAAAAAAAGGCAGAAAAAACAACTTTATGAGTGCATTATCTTTTCTGCCACAGGCACAGAAGGGTAGAAAGCCACAGCTGGGGGCAGTCCAGCAGAATGGGACTAAACCTAGGCACCGAGCAGAGAAGGATAAGATCAAAAGGTGTTTGCTTTTTCTTTTAATTTGTGTTGTAGTTTTTTTGGGGGGTGGGGGAAGTAAACTAGACTGAAGCAATGGATTTTTTTTTCTTTAATATTTTTCCCTTTGTTCTTGAACGCTTTTGCCCTGTACCCTGAGTTTTGAATTCCTTTAGGAACTTGGATTGGGGGGCTCGAATGTCAGAAGTGCCCAGCACCTCCTACTTGGAGAGAAGTGAGCCATCTGCTGGTCAGGAAGTCCTCCAGACGGGCAGCTCTTTCCACTATTCCTGCTTTGGGGAAAGGAAGCTGGGGCTGGAAAAAGGTTAGAAGCTTGCTAGCTGGGAGTGTCTTTGTTTCACCTTTCTCTTAAACTAGACTTGCAGGGGCCTCTGACCTGAACTTCCCCGTGAAATAGATCACAATTGATCTTGTGCTCCTCCCTCTCCCCCATTTTTGTTTTGTTCTTTTTTTTTTTTTTTTTGAGACAGTCCCACTGTCACCCAGGCTGGAGTACGGTGGTGTGATCTTGGCTCACTGCAACCTCCGCCTCCCAGGTTCAAGCAGTTCTCTGCCTTAGCTGCCCAAGTAGCTGGGATTACAGGTTCCTGCCACCACACCCAGCTAATTTTGTATTTTTAGTAGAGATGGGGTTTCACCATCTTGGCCAGGCTGGTCTTGAACTCCTGATCTCGTGATCCACCTGCCTCAGCCTCCCAGAGAGCTGGGATTACAGGTGTGGGCCGCCACGTCCAGTCTCTTTTGCTGTTTGATTGCTGATAGTGTTGAACAGCAATATGCCCCATCTTTATATATGCTAAGAAACACTAATTCTAGGTTATTATTAGCTGAAATATTTTTGTCCTGAATAACGTTGTTACTGGGCCAAAAGATAGATCAGGACCCCCAGGCTTTAGTTTCCTGAAGTCACCAGCTCAGGCATAAGGAGAAGGGGTTCCTGGATATTGACTAACGTGGGTGGGCCTAGCCAGGAGAAAGATAGTAACATGTTCTTTACTTTCTGGGAAGATCCCTGAAGCCATCACAGAGGCTCCCCAACTTCTGAGTCACCCATCTCTTGCTGAGGGAGTGGGAATGGATTGCTTAAGGAGAGGGAGTTTTGCTCTTTCCAGGTGGGCAAGTTTCCTGGGCTCTCTGTGTTGCCTCCTTCTGGCTTCTTTCTCCCTTGCCCTCTCCCCATGTGCCCCAGGGGGATCAGGGATCCTCACCCTCCTGAGGCCCAGTGGGGAAGAATGAACATGGCAGCTTCCAGGTTAACTGAAGCTGCCATTTGCCCAGCCTCTTCCATCCCAGCCCTGTCAGTGAGCCCAGGTCTGATGAAACTGTTGCAGGATTTCTGTAGTAGAGAACTCTGGAAGTATACTGGGCTGAAGTGGGATTTTTCCCTCCCCACAGTGCACTGAGCAATGGAGGGTGGTGAGGGGTGAAGGAGCCATGCTGCTGAATTCTGGTTGGCATTCCCCCCTTGTGTAAAATGGGGTGTTGGGGTAGGGCAGACTCTGCTTGGGTTTGGTTGTAAGATAAAGCTGGAGGAGAAGCACAGTTGTCCCATTGGATTATTTGAGCAAAAACTACTGTAAATAACTTCTTCGTCTGTTGTCAAATAAAATTGTTTTTGTTTTTGTTTTTTTTAAGCAGAAACAGGGTTCTTGATGTTTGATCCATCAGGGCTTAGGGCCCAGGCTTGAAGACAAAGCAATCACTAGCTTCTTACCTTGCCTTAGATTTTTCACTCTCCCTCTGGTAGCCAGCTGTGAGTTCTGTGCATGCTGCACCCCTGTCCCTTTCACCAGCTCGATTCTGTATCCCATTCAATTCAGGGTTAAGGGGGCCTTTGCATCCCACACTAGGCCAGTCTTCCCTGGGATCAACAGTTAAGCTTTGGAGTTGCTAAGTGGCAAGAATGTAACCTTGAGGAACTGGATACTCTGTCCTCCCCCTCCCTCAGTGAGGAAAGAACATGACTGCAGCCTGAACCCAGCACAGAGAAGCAGCTATGAGATGGTAGCTCCAATCATGTCTGAAACCAGGACCACCTCTAGACTTCCCTATTATGTAAGCTAATAAATTCCCCTTTTTTGCTTGGTTAATACATTTCTGCCATACTGAAATGACAATACGCTAACTGCAGACCAAACTTCAAAAACCAAGGTCTGCAACAGTGGAAAACCAAGTTTGGCTGAGTGTGCCTGGGTCTGTGCTATATTCAATCTCTTTTTTTGGTGTTTTTTTTTTTTTTCTTTAGGCAAAGTCTTACTGTGTCACAAGGCTGGAATGCAGTGGCACAATCTCAGCTCAGTGCAACCTCTGTCTCCCGGGTTCAAGCGATTCCCCTGCCTCAGCCTCCCGAGTAGCTGGAACTACAAGCATTTACCACTATGCCCAACTAATTTTTTGTATTTTTTAACAGAGAAGGGGTTTCGCCATGTTGGCCAGGATGGTCTCAATGTCCTGACTTTGTGATCTGCCTGCCTCGGCCTCCTAAAGTGCTAGGATTATAGGCATGAGCCACCATGCCCAGCCCTAATCTCTTAATTTTTGTATACACACACAGGAAAGTGAGATGCCCTAGGTAAAGAAACTGAGTGGGCTGTGGCTTGTGCCTGTAATGCCAGCTACTCCAAGGCTAAGGCTGGAGATCACTTAAGCGCAGGAGTTCGAGGCTGTGGTGAGCTGTGATTGGGCCACTGTACTCCAACCTGGGTGATAGAATAAGACCCCATCTCTCTCTCTCTTTTTTTTTTTTTTTTTTTTTTTTTAAAGGGGCCAGGCACTGCAATGGCTCACACCTGTAATCCCAGCACTTTGGGAGGCGGAGGCAGGCAGATTACCTAAGGTCAGGAGTTCAAGACCAGCCTGGCCAACATGATGAAACCTTGTCTCAAAAAAAAAAGAGTACATATTAAGATACTTGCCTGAACTCATATGGCCCTTATAAATATGAAGCTAGAATTCAAATTCAAGTCTGTTTTGCTTCAGGGTCACTCAGATCTGCTCAGAACCTACCTGAACTAATATAGTGGGCACTTAGATAGTGGCCACTAATGTAGTATCATCTAGCTGTCTAGAATGGTGCTATGGGCTAAGCACAAGAAGTTTCTTCTATGAATGAAATCTTGGTGATTTCATCCCAGTCACCTGGATGGAGGATGTCTTATCTCTCCTGCAGGTCACTCTCCTTTAGGAATTTGGAGAGCCTCCCCACTCAAGTTTCCCAGATTATAGAGCCTCAATTCCCTTAGCCATTCACCCAAGGTCCTGATTTTCCCCCACTTCTCTCTCAGTATCTCAAACTGCACACTTGGCCCTGGGGCTCAGCAAAATAGACACGTGCTGTTAAGGCTTTTCAAAGTAAGTTTAATACTCAATTCACATCAGCCATGAGCTTGTAATCCCAGCACTTTGGGAGGTCAAGGCGAGTGGATCACTTTTGAGGTCAGGAGTTGAGACCAACCTGGCCAACATGGTGAAACCCCATCTCTACCAAAAGTACATAAATTAGTGGAGTGTGGTGGCACACCCTTGTAATCCCAGCTACTCGGGGTTGAGGCAGAATCGCTTGGACCCCAGAGGTGGAGGGTGCAGTGAGCCAAGATCGCACCACTACACATGAGCCTAGGCGACAGAGTGAGACTGTGTCTCAAAAAAAAAAATGCAATTTCTATCTAGAAAATACTAATATTCCCCGAAAAGGGGAAGTAATTTGGATTGTTCAATCCCCTAGGGAGAGATGGCTTCTGACAAATATTTTTTTCAAGCTTCTGCATCAAGCTTCCACGAGCCCTGGAGTGAGCAAGCACTTTAGATAATGAAAGTGAACTTTGGGATAATGTGGCCAGGGCCCCTCTGAAACTGGGAACATGATCTAAGGACATCTACCTTTCTTACAGCCTCATTCAGGAAACAGCTTTTAAATGCATCAGCCTCTGGCTGTGAATACCTGCTGTCTCTTTGGGCTGGCTGTGGATTGCCTGACTACTTCTCTATACCCTTGTTCTTTTTTTTTGAGACGGAGTCTCACTCTGTCGCCCTGGATATGAGATCGCCACTGCACTGCAGCCTGGCCCATAGAGCGAGACTCCATCTCAAAAAAAATAAAGGTAGTGGTAGTGACTGGTGGGGAGGGGTATGCCATCTTCTAGACTGGTGGTCAGGGAAGTACTCCTTTCCACTGTTTTTTTTTTTTTTTTTGAGACAGAGTCTCGCTCTGCCGCCAGGCTGGAGTGCAGTAGTGCAATCTCAGCTCACTGCAACCTCCACCTCCTGAGTTCAAGAATTCTCCTGCCTCAGCCTCCTGAGTAGCTGGGACTAAAGGCACACACCACCACACCCAGCTAATTTTTGTATTTTTAGTAGAGATGGGGTTTCACCATGTTGGCCAGGATGGACTCAATCTCTTGACGTTATGATCCATGGGCCTCAGCCTCCAAAAGTGCTGGGATTACAGGCATGAGCCACCACGCCCAGCCCTTTTCTGCTGTTTTCAAATGGTAGTTTCTCCATGGCCCCTAGGCTTAGAACCATTGGAAAGCGTTGTTTTTTTTTTTTTTTTTTTTTTTTTTGGCCCCAACTCAGCCCTATGAATAAGCATCATTCTGGGATAAGACTCAGGACTCTGGATTTTAAAAGTACAATCTAGTTGGAAAGCTGGTACATGAAGACTCCCACAGGGTAGAGGCCAGGTCTGTCTTGTATGGCTATATTCTTGTTATTTTAGACACTAGAGCTGCAGAGAATAAGGTTTGGCACTCAAAAAGGATGGAGAAATAACTATTACTGCTGTCAGTGTTACTGATTTCAAAGGCATTTCTCCATAACCCAAGCCTGGGTTCAAATTCTTGGTCTGTCATTGAATAGCTGTCATGACCATAGGCAAGTCAGTTCACTACTCCAACCTTAGCTTTCATCATCAATAAAATGGGAATAGTAACACTCACCTCTTGGGAGGATGAAACAGGGTAATCTATATGTTACTATCCATCCTTGCTCAGCACACAGCTGAGGGAAAAACAACCCGTAAAACAACTCACCCCATACCGTACAGTTTTGTTTTGTTTTTTTTTTAAAGATGGGGTTTCACCATGATGGCCAGACTGATCTTGAACTCAACCTCAGGTGATCCACCCACCTCAGCCTCCCAAAGTGCTAGGATTACAGGCGTGAGCCACGGTGCCCAGCAACCATATAGCTTTTAAGTGGCAGAATTGGCCCTAATTCCCCAGAAAAGTGATTTTCAAGCCTAAATATGCATCAATATCATCAGGAATGCTTACAAAAATGCATATTCCCAGACCTCAGGCCCAGAGGGTCTGGGTAGGAATCTGCATTCCTGCCACAGGAGATACTGATGCTCTTGCTCCAGAGACCGCCATCATTATCAGGACTTATCCCCAGAAAACTGGTGGGCTGGAAAAGTCGCAACTCTTTGTCTTTCAAAGTTACCAGAAGGGTCTCTGGGCCGTCTGATTTTGCTTCAGAGAGGCTATGGTAACTTGAAGGTCTAGTGTAACCTACCATTTTAATTACCGAAGTAATCCATACTCATTGTAGAGAAATTGCAAGTAAAGGTATAAAAAGGGAAGAGTTTAGTATAATGGTTAAAAGCTCAACCATGTTTTAGATGAAAATTAATGTACTGGGCATGGTGGCTCATGCCTGTAATCCCAGCACTTTGGGAGGCTGAGGCGGGTGGATCACCCAAGGTCAGGAGTTTGAGACCAGCCTGGCAAACATGGCAAAATCCCCATCTCTTCTAAAAATACAAAAATTAGCTGAGTGAGGTGGTGGGTGCCTGTAGTTCCAGCAACTAGAGAGGCTGAGACAGGAGAATTGCTTGAAGCTGGGAGGTGGAGGTTGCAGTGAGTCAAGATCACACCACCGCACTCCAGTCTGGGTGACAGAGTGAGACTCCGTCTCAAAAACAAAACAAAACGAATGTGAAACATTTAGCAAAGTAACTGGTACTTAGCAAGGGCTCATTAAGTGCTAGTATGACATTTGTTGTAGGCCAAAACAAAAAAAAGACCAGGATGCAATCTCAGATCTCCATTTCAACAACAGATGCCCTTTCCATGGCTGGTGGTTCCCCCCAGGATTTCCGATACCTGTGATCCATCAGTACCTGAGAGGGGCCAGTTATCCCTCAGAACATACCTTCCTCTCCAAACCCCACTACAAGCAGCTGGTAGTGCTATCGAGGCATTCAGCTGCAAGGAAATAGCTTTAAGGCTGAGCTCATGTGTTCAACTAGTGCTAAAACGCTACAGACTCACAAAGACAAAATGTGTCCTACTTCCAAATCTGTCTCTCCCACTTCCAAATCTGACCCTTCATCAAGTTCTTTTCTATCTCAGACCACCCAAGATGTTTATTTTAACCAGATGGATTCACTGAAATTCAGCCAGATCCCCGCGTCCTAAGATAAGGAAAGCCTTGGGTGAAAGCAAACAGGGAACAAGTTTCAGTCCCATAAATACCTTCTAGGCAAGGGCTTCCACTCTGGCTGCCAGCTTAGCTTCGGCTGATCCTAGAAAGAGGAGGAACAGGGATCAGGTTTCAGATGCCTGTTGAACTTCTAACTTGCTGTATGACCTTGGGCTACACTGCAGGATTTGAGGACCCTTCCAACTAGAACTTTCTGT